TCATATCTCTCCCGCTGCACAATGGCTTCCAGCTCCAAATTTGAGCTCCAAATTTGGAGCTTCCAGCTCCAATTGGAGCTTCCAGCTCCAAGATTTTACTTCCTAGACAGCTGGGAATAAATACATTTTGACTGATAATTCAGAACATCTTCTGTTAATACATTTTTTCCAACATATTAAGACACTTATGAGCAAAGGTCAAATTAGATCACCATTTCTTTCAGTGACACCCTCAGAATGGATTCAAGCAGTATGCTGATTGAATATGCCTAGGTTTTTTTCAGATATCAACATTCTTAGTGGAAATAAAATTAAAGATGAATTACAAAATGCTGCCAAGATTGATGTAAATGTAATCATGTCAAGGTTGACTTGATAGGGAGGTCCACCCATTTTATGTTACTTGTGTTGCATCTTTATTGTACATGCTCTGTATGCTGCCTGATACTAGAGTCCCACTGCTGCTGTTTATTTCACTGTCCTGTCTTCACAGGAGTGAAGTGGAGAGCAGGATAAGATTGCACCCATGCCCTTAGTTGTGCAACCTGCCCTGTACATCAAGATCTTTTTCCGTATGGTCCTGTAGCTAGGTTTTGCTCTTAGCGTATTTTCACTTCTCTTTTGGAATCAAGAGAATAGCATGAATATAAATTCATGTTTTAGAGGTAGATTGAGATTTTGGCCTTTTTAATAATATTTACTGTAAGAAACCTGTGCTGTTGTCAAATTGGGAATTCCATAACACTGTTTGGAAGAAGAGCGTTGGCAGAGCAGAAAAGTGAGAGGCCTGCGGATCTTACATGATATAAAGTGTAAAGTGTCATAATGCCTGAAGTAGTAGATTATTTTATTTTTTAAATGGTGTTTAGATCATATATGCTAGAGAAAAAAAGCTGCTAGAGAAAAAAACTGCATAATCTGGGTTTAGTTCTTCAATAGTTTTTTTAGCACCTTCATGTCTGCAGACACATGGAAAAAGAATTACAGCTGTGATTCTGTGATTTGTGATTTTTTTTTGTGCGTGTGTGAGATAAACATAGACATCAGATGTCTCAAGTCTGTAAAAATATTTGCAATCAAATGTATCTTAACATTTTTTCTGTATTTCCCTATTTTATGGGAAAGTGTCTTTTTTTCTTGCAATAAAAATGAAACTGTGCATTAAGGAACTTTACAGCAGACACTGAGAAGATGCACTAGGCCAGAGAGATTTGCTGCCTTTAAAATAAGTAATCCTACTAGAAATGAGCCCAGATTTCTAACAGAAGTCATGAAATACAACAGCAGATATGTGAACTGAATTTTTTTAACAGTACTGTTGGACACCTACAATCATTTAAAACCTATTCAAATATAGGATTGAATCATTCTGGTTTATATACTATGCTGGATACATGATGTGCAGTACATTGTTCAGGACTTATTTTGTGTTGAAGAAGTGCATGCATTGATATGTCTTCAAAATTTCTGTTCTGAGATCCTTTAGTACTCCTTATTTTACTTAGACCTCAGTTATAATTTTTGCAGTCCTACAGCTCTCTGTTTCACAGGTTTTGTTTTTTTAGAGTTGACAGGAGCCATGCTGCATTGTCCCACGTACTGAATCACTCAGGAATAGGTTGTATACACTTGACGGGAAGCTCAGCTCTGTGTCTTCCACAGTCACTAAGATAGCACAAGACTGATGTTTCCAGGTCTTTCATTTGAGACAGCAATGCTTGCGTGGGCATTATGTCACGATTCTCATTCCTTTCTTACTAGTGTTTTCAGCAAGTATTTATTAAAATACTTTTTATCAATTAACTGTCTTTTGTTCCAACAGAGTCTATCAGCTTTGGGTTTTGGTGGTGATATCCAAACTACTTGCTTTTAATATACTGTTTTAAAATGTTTGTGCTAATATTGTGTTTTTCCCTACTTCTAACAGTTGTTCCCCTACATCTTCCTGGTATTTTGTCTGTTTTGTTTTGATTTTTTTTTGGTAAAACAGGTTTTTTTCATAAGACAATGAACTGTCTGTTGACAACTAATTACTCTTTCAAACCAAGGTAACTGGGCAAGACCTCTTACGGTTACCATAAAAAACAGTGAAATATAATTTAGCTCACAATTTGCAGATCTTTAATCTTTAAAATAGATGTTCAGCTGACAGCAGTAACTATACTACTGTATGCACACAGGAGCAAATGTTAAATTTTTCATTCTTTGTCATTAAGTTAAATATTTAAACAAAACAGTCTTAAGACTTCTTTTCTTTCAAGATGTGGTGTGTGTTTGGGAATTAGAGTAATCTCTTAGCGTCAAAACCACAAATATAAAAATTACATGTATATTTTCTAATAAAAGGCTGGTCCTGGATTTGGGAGGAGGGTCTTTCATTTGCTTGATTTTCTAAAAGCATGTATTGCTTCCTTTATATCCACTTACTTAATACATAAAAGCCAAAATCTATCCTTATATTTGCATAACTGGGAGCAGAAATTCAACCCGACATTTTAAAGACTTTTTAAAATATTCTGCAAAATGTCTTTATCTGATACTAAACTTAGCTTTTTTTGGCATACAATTGGACCAGGAAGAAATTGAATAATGATGCGCATTTAAAAAACGTAGCTCTGGTACTGGTCTGGGATTGTAACTTGCTTTTGTCTGATGCTTTCACTACTGCAGAAATGGTGATGGGGTTATTTACGTTAATTCATTTGGCTTGTTGAAAAAAATATGCCCACGCTCCTCTACTTAATGGGATTCTTTCCTCGTTGCAGTGCAAACGGCTGGAGCAGGAGCTTCATCATCTGAAAGAGCAGAACCAGACTTCAGCAAACAACACGAGACATCTGACTGCTGAAAACAATCAAGAACGTGCTCTGAAGGTAAATCTCCATTTCTTCTTGCAGGCAAATTAAGGTTGTAAGCCCCTGGTGCCAGCTTTCTGGGCTGCATATATCAGTTGTGTACATTTCGGCAGAAGTGAGCTATGGTGTTTGCCAACAACCCCTTCTTTAAACACAGATACAGCACCCTTCTGTTATGGTTTTGTTTTATTTTATTTTGTGTATGAAAACAACGAGAAAAAAATAACATATCCTCCAAATTATTGGGCTGGTAATTAACGCTAAATTCTTGGGGTCTGTCCTTGCAATATTGCATTTTATAACGTGAAGAAAACTGCAACTATTTGCCTCACGGTACCTTTGCAAAACTAATATTTTAAAGCATGGCTGTTTGATCTGCTCCCAGCAGTGTGTGCTATATTAATAACATTGTTGACCTATACTACTAGTGACCACATAGTTGATACTACTATTTGCAAAAGGGTAGCTAGTTGGAATTGGGAGGAGGAATAATAAGTCTTGTCAATAAGAATAAAAATGTTCAGCGAGACGGGAGAGGGTCAGAGAAAGGACACTGTAAAGTGACAGGTTATTGCTGCTTTGAGAAAGGGAAATTGTAACATCAGTGGAATTGATAGCTACATAACCAGCAGCCTCACCGCTAGCCAGAATAAGAGACTCTGCCAGGTAAGATGTGCAAGCATTGTGCGCACCTATTCAACAACTATATTCTTAAAAATCTCTTTTATGGGTAGTGGAGAGACAATATAAATACAGAAGTTGCTCTGCTGATACCGTGTTGTCGTTTTAAAACTGTGTTTGGTTTAGGCAGTAAGATCCATACTTATCTCATTTACAGGCAGATTTTCCTCTGCCTCCTTTTTCTTTTTTTTTTATATTCGGGAAACATCGTTATTCATGCAACAACTTGACCGATGCAAAGCATAGGAATTAAGGTAAATCCTTGTGTAGTCTGACATTTCTCAGTTAAAAAAAAAAAAAGTATAATGAATAAATGGAGAGAGGCTGTGTGCCACACAAATGCTGTATGTTCCATGGGTTTATAACTGCCATCAGAATCTATGGTGAATATTACAAAATCAGGTGTGCAATACTGAAAGCAATCCATCCTCAGATGACTAGAAATAGAGATCATAAACATTCAGGGCTGTTTCTGACCACAATAATAGCATTGTTTTGAATCTGGTATCACTAAAAGTTAGTGCTTGCCGAGCATGCTACTTATTGAACATAGTATTGTTTTTCATTAATTGCATGCTGACTTGTTTCTTCTGTGTCACTGAAAATATTATGCACAGTCTTTCTGTTAGAAAACAGAAATGTTTTATCGAAACTACGCTTTTTACATTTAATATTGCCTGACGTGATGCTTACAGAATAATTATATTTTCAGAGCAAGAAGTGACTTGATAGTTCATAGTGTTACGAGGATTTCATTCTAAGCCTGATATTGCTCTCCCAGCACCTAATCTTTAAAGAATTTAATTTCTGGCTGTCACAGGCATTCTTTGATTTTTCAAAGTTAGAGGTTAATTGAGAGATGAAAGTCTGGGGAGGAAAAAAGGAATGCTCTTCAATTTTTGGTAAAGTTGAACTTTTTTTAATGTTGTACTTCTGTAGAGTTTGTCTCAGTTCATATTACTATTGCCTACAGTGAAAACAGGTCCATCAGAGTACTTTTTAAAAGGCTGATGGGTCAAGTTGAATTCTTGACCTTGAAAACCCGAAAATGCCCCTATGAAATATTGGCAATAGTAGTTAGCTTTGATATACAGCATACGAACACTCTTCCTGACCTAAGCGCTCAAGTAAATGAAAAGCTTATCACCCCTTTTTAGTGTAGCTACAGCCTAGAAAATATGGACTGGCTGGTAGGGATGAAAGTCGTGTCAGCAACTCCTTTAGAAACGGGTTTGACTGGTGCTCTGGGCCTGGCTGCGGCTGCCGGGGTGCTCCTGCTGCCGTCAGCGGCAATGTTCCCTGACGGAGAAATATCCAGCCGGAGCCCCTTGACAGGTAACGTGCTGTGGGGTCTTGGCACACACCTCCCCTGTGAAACCCTCTTGTTCTTAGCTGCTACCTCCTGCCTCTTGTATGCGCTCGGTAGCTATCCTAAGTGCTACACGCAGGGTGCATGTACAGACCCAAGAATCCCCTCCTGTCTCCTCTCCGCTGCAGATCACCGCCTGGTCATCTGACCATTTTCTGAGAAATAGGACAGGCCATTTGTCTCTGTGGTGCAGCGTTAAATATCAACACAACTATTTTTATTTTCACTATGATCCAGAGATCTACATTTACTTTAACCACCTCCACGTGCAAACTGGGAACTGCGCTATGTGCTATTAATTCAGATGTAAACACCTGTCCTGCAGAAGCAGTCCAGGTTTTCCTTCTGTGTCTATCCAGGACAGTTTCTGTTAAGAAAGTTTTGGGGGTTTTTAAAATCTTTAATTTTCCCTACTCTCTTAAACTTAATTAACGTTGTTTGATTCAGTTTGGCAGAAGATGTATTCTGGTGATAGGTGGCAGATGAGGAATTTGATCTGCTTTAGATTTTCTTCAGGGACTAACGGAAGCATAAACATCAGATGTGGTGCAAGGATACTTGCAATCTTAACTGGATAAAAATACAGTAATCAGGATCAGCTAGATTAAGGATGGCGTAAAAGTTTGTGATAAAAGATGAGATCATGACCTCTGTGGGGTCCTGAAATACACTTAACAGCAAAACCCAACAGGTATTGTTTCTTTCCTACTTTTTAAAATCATCTCACAATAGTGAGTTGCTCAGAAGGAAAAAAGTGTAAAACCAATCAACAAGAAACCTATTTCATTCTACTGAGGGTATGCTCTAATAGGTAAGATAAGCTGCAAGCTTTCAGCTTTATTTTTAGTTATATTAGCTCACAAGGCTACTGCTACCCTTCTTTGAGGCAGTAGCAGCCTGTAGACTCCTGAGTGAGGCAAAGCAGCAGAGACACATATTGTAACTGTGGGAGAGGTGTGGTGGCAGTAAATTGGCCAGATCCAGGATCTGGAAATCACAAAGGTGATGTAAGCACTCTTGCATACTTTTGTTTTTACACTTTTAGATCCCATGTCACACCTGAGGATCATGTGACAAATAAAACATATGACATATGCTGCATGCTGTATAGACCTATACTGTGCCATTTATTTATTATTATTATTATTGCACATGTTATTGTGCAATATAACATCTACACATCTTTGGTAAGATAGCTTTTCTTAACTAATCTCTGTCATACATATTAGTAGTACGTGATTTAAAATTTCCATATTTAATGTATTTATTTATTGCATAGAACATTCCTTATAGTGATGTGGGCCATTCAGTCCCACAATGCCAAACTAGTACTCCTAATTTTTATAGTATTCTTATTGGTCATAGGGGATTGTATTAATTGAACAAAAAGGCCAATTTCAGATCTCCCCTCCAGGCAATGCCCACAACTGCACAGAGGTCATTCAGAGAAGCATGTGGGCCCCTATTTCCATAGTTAAAGCAAAATAATCCTCCTCTTTGTGAAACCATTTTATAAAATCTCTTATAATATTTCAGATTGAATTATAGCTAAATCTTTTAGGGATAATTGCTTCCTAAGGGCCTATACATTTGCGCTCTTAGTACATTTTCATAAAGTAAGATCTGCAGAGTGCTTTGCAGTTCTAATGTGTCAGGGTCTATACATAAGATTATTCATTTGTGCTTGGCCTTCATAATTAACATTTGGTCTCTACTGATTCTGATAAATGTATTCCCACAATACACTGAAATAGCTGATTCAATTAAACATAAAAAGTTGAAGAATCGCTATTTTTTCATCAGTATTCAAATATTGTTGTGGATCATTTTATTGTTGTCAGCTTTGTAGTGTGTAGTTTTGAAATGCAGAGTTCTAAGTAATACATTTTCCTAAAGAAAAATAAAGATTTTGCCAGTGTGAATGTCCTCTTTACTCAGTTGAAGAAGAATAGGAAAAAAGTCTTGTGAAACAAATAACTGCATCTGAAAATTCATGGAAAATCTTTAACTGGATTTGAATGAAACATAGGGAGAGGTGACTTTTTTTTCACAGGCCTGTTTTTTTTTGTAATTTTTAATTAGGTGGTACGTTCTTCTTAAAGCAGCTATTAACCTGCTTTAAAGACCAGAGAGGCATACTAATTTTACTTCCAAGCCAAACTCTCAAAATGGAGAGGAGGGCTGTTTCATGATGATACACAAATCAGGTGCCCTTTAGTGACTAAATGAGTTTACTCCATCCAAGTATGATGTCATTAGAACTTGTAAAGGTTATTAATCTCCTTCAGAGCTGTTAAGATGTTAATCTTTGGTTATGATTGGCTTGTTTTGTTGTTTTTCTGACTAATCAATCTTTTTAGTTGTGATTTTCTGTAGAATTCCTCCTACATGCGCCCATGGTTTTATTAAGAATATCATAAATTTAGAGTCAGAGGCAAGAAAGTGACCTGAAGGAGCTGTCAGAAATTTGTCTACAGTAGTGTCATAAAGCGATTGTAGCTGATGGCATCTGCTTTCTGCTGACACATAAGAATTGTGTCAAGGGTAGGAAATTCACCATGCATAGCAGTTTGGTAGTTGTTCTAGTGATGATGCCTGTGAAAAAGCCAGAAGAAGACTTAATTTAAGTACACCCTGATGCCTGTCGTAAATTGTATGGGTAGGAAACCATGCATAGCAGTTTGGTAGTTGTTCTAGTGATGATGCCTGTGAAAAAGAAAGTGAGAAGAAGCTGTCAGAAATTTGTCTACAGTAGTGTCATAAAGCGATTGTAGCTGATGGCATCATCTTTCTGCTGACACATAAGAATTGTGTCAAGGGTAGGAAATTCACCATGCATAGCAGTTTGGTAGTTGTTCTAGTGATGATGCCTGTGAAAAAGCCAGAAGAAGACTTAATTTAAGTACACCCTGATGCCTGTCGTAAATTGTATTAAGTTCTGTTTTGATTCCCAGAATTTCCCAGATTC